GTGTGTGTGTGTGTGTGTGTGTGTGTGTGTGTGTGTGTGTGTGTTACCTTGGTAAGCTGCGGGCTCTTGCACAGGTAGTAGGCTGCAGACAACCCCCCGATCCCTCCTCCAAGCACTGCTACTGTTTTCATTGGCTGACTTCAGGAGCTGCAGGTCAGAGCGGGAGTGGTCCTACAGCCAGGCCTGTTGGACCTGATACGACAAACAGTTTGTTTATCACACAACTGTCAGTCCAGATGTCTCCTCTCACAGGAGACCGGCTTCAGTCCAACTCACGGTCCATCTCAAGCGTTCTTCCAATGACAAAGATAAAGTTCTCTCAGTTTACATCAACACTGGATGTAATGTGGCAAAAAGCCACAAGATGTTGGTGTTTAACATATTTTCAGGGTTATTTTAGCAAAAAACGACAAACAAAAAAGATGAAAATGTGTTCAAAAATATCTTGCTGCTCAGCTGTGTTTTAGTGGGTCCTTATCTTTACTCCAACTGAGATGTATTTAATGTGAATGTCTTATTTCCTAATTTAAATGTTTTTATTAGCTGTTATTGTTAGGAATTATGACCTAATCAATTACTTTATTTCCTTCCGTTTTAATCACTTTTATACTGATTTTTAAGCCTAATATTTTTACCACAGCCCATCAAAAAAAAAAAAAAATCTTTAGAAAAAGCATAAATGAAAATTAAAACCGCTCAAACATTTCACTTCAAAATGACAAAAATAATTAAATAAAACTGATAACATAAATTCAGGCAGACACTGTGGCTGGGACGTGGGAACATCGTGGTGACATATAATAATGTCATGATTGTTTTGTTTTTCTGGTTAATATTCTGCAGCACATTTCTGCCCGATTAGGTCCAAAGTCTAAATAAAGTCTGAAGAACATAAAAACATTTAATTGATAAATAGAAGCTTTTAATTCGACATGTTTCTGTGCGGAATTCCACCAAAACTATTTAAAAGCTTAAAACCTTTCAGTTGAACTCTTGAAGGATGTGAGGAAGCAGACTGACTGACAGCTGAGAGAACACACTTTAAGTTATAAAACATAAAGATACCATGTTTCTATGTGACTGTCAGTAAGCTGATACACAAACAAACAATAGAACAAACCAATAAACAAATACGTGTTACCCGTTAACTTGAAGAAGCCAAGATAAACTCCAAATCCACTGTTTGTTTGGACTTCCGCCGCTCCACTGGTGGACTGAACCATAGTACGCATGCGCAGAAACTGTCTTCTTCTTCTTCTTTTAATGGTGGACCGCAAACCGCTGAAAGGTGCTTACCGCCACCTGCTGCATGTAATGTAAAGAACACTTCCTCTTTCTGTTTCCGACATGTTCCACTTTCTTTTTCCTCACAACCAAGTCCTTTAGCTCAGTATGACCCACCCTCAGTCTTATCATGTCTTCCTTTCTGCTTCTTTAACAGTTCTCTGTTACTCATTATGTATTTGCATAAACAATAAAACTTAATTTCTTTTTGACATATTTTCATTTATTTTCCTTTAATTACTGATGGTTCAACTAAACCTGTCTGACTTTCATGAGCAACTTTATGCAACATAGTTTCACCTTTTGGAATCGTTACTGTTATTAGAAAAAGTTTTTTCAACCATGAATGGTTCTAAATATGTAAACTTTTTGTAGTTTTTTTAACGGATGTGACGCTTTCCCACAGTTTGATGCTTTTATTATGATTAGTTTGATCACATTTTCAAAGTGGCTCCAGATGCCGATTATTGCTGAATGTGGACAAACAAAATGACCTCCAGTAGTTTATTCTAATCTTGACCTAATTTAAGATGTATATTTCTTTAGCCTTGGATAACCCGTGTAGATCTATTAAAGGGGAACGAAGGGAAGTGATGACAACAATCTGAAACCCTAAAGTGTATCTAGGTTCTCTCGGGTGACAGTTGTGTTGTGTTTGTCTGATTAGAGCTGAGACATTCAGTGGTTGAGGTAATGTGTTGGACTGTGAATGAATTAGATTAGGATCAGTTCCAGAATTTCTTAAGACCTGTAGAATCAAAATGGACCAATGGACACAGATTAAGTGGTGAACAAAAAGCAGAGGGCAGACAAATTTGTTGACTTGCCCACCAGCATCTTAACTACAGGGTGAGTCAAAAGTTGCAGGACACACTTTTATTTTTGGAAACAAAAGTATAAATGAAATATCTGAACACCCCAGCAGGTAATGTGTGAGGGGGCCTGCTTTCTGCCATCTTACAAGCCACCAGATTGGATCGAGGACAAGTTTTTTTTTTTTTTAACGGGAAGGTGGTCATTCAGCATATCAGACCAGAATTACCTCAGAAAAAGATTGCTGCAATCAAATCATGTGGTTCAAAAGTTATCAACACAGAAACCTATAAGTGAGAACCCTGACTGTGACGTCCAGTTATTTGACATGCTCAAAGTGCTGTCCATGGTGCTGAACACACAGATGAAGGGATGCAACAGCCCAACAGGTGAAATCGGTGGTCTTTCTAATATCCGCAGCTTTCACACAGCAGCTGCATTCCCAGAACATCAGAATCGCCTCGATCCTCTCTCCTTCCATCAGTTCCATCTTCATTTGCGATAAACAAAGGTTTTGAATGTTGCGTTGATAACATTTGAACGTTACACATCGTACACATCTGATGACAACAATCCATTTCTGAGATGATTCTGGCCTCTTGTGATGTGCTGTGTGAGCCCATTTCTGTTTGAAAAGTTTTAACTTTGATCCAATGTGGCAACTTTCAAGATGGCGGCTATGGTATGGACTAAAAGATAGGTCTCCTCACTCATTACTTGCTTGGGTATTCAGATTATTGTTTCTAAAATAAACAGGTGTCCTGAGTCTTTTGAGTGCAACGGCTGCACGACTTTCCACAACACAAACATCTTTTAACTTATTCTTGCTTTCCTCCTGTGAAACTTGATTTTTCAGGTTCTCCTCTTGTAACCTCGGGTTGAGGAGGAGATTATGATAGGGCTCGAGTGTCGATCTGAGTTGTCTAGGATATGTTTGCTCTCTGAATATGACCTTTTCCTTTAGTTTAGATGAATGGTAACAGCAATAACCTAATGGTTCATCACAGAAAATGAGTCCATCCTTTACCACTGGGACAGTGAGGTAACACTCAACAAGACTTTCTTGTTCCACTCCATCTCACAAAACCTGGAAGCCAACAGAAAAAAGTAGGCAACTTGAAATTTTACCCACACTTAAATTTTAAGGTCACCCTGCTCCTTTGTCTTTGCAGGCAGTCAGAACAACACAGAAACAAAAGTACCAAATGATGGCTCAGTTGAGTGAGTGGGTAAACAAGCTACTGCCAGGGTAAGGCTGTAGATCCCCAAGTCGGGGTCAGGACCCCTCTGTGGGTCATGAAACATTAAGTGGGAGTGTCCTCAAGCATCTCCGTAATCCAGGTAGAAAAAAATCAAAAAGAAAACAATAGAGCTAATCCAGCCTATTGTTAGGCGATGGCCCTCTTTTGCATGTGACTAACCTGTTTGTCCAGGTGGAGGCAGTGCTTATAAGGCTGAGTTCACCTGAAACTCATCAGACTGAAGAAGTCTCTTGGAGGAGAGACGAAATGTTTCACTAAAGAACCCATCCAGAGGACCTAATTATTTTTTCTTTTTGATTAAGTGGGAGTCCTCACTTGATTTCCAGACATCAGTTTAAATATAGCTAAACTGCTAGTTGAGTATTTTCACTGTAATTACTGAGAAAAAAAACATTCAGAAAGGAATAAAAGTAGTATCATAGTTATGTTTGTTAAATTGTAATTAAGCCCAAGTTGAACAGAGTTATGATAAACCAGTAAAATCAGAGGTCACATGTTTCTGCAGCTGTTGTTTTGTGGGCTGGAAGTTCAGAAGTTTGAAAACCGCTGCTGTAACCCTGATACTATCACAGACCATGGCACACAGTTTAATTAAAGGTAGAAGTCTGTATGATCAGCCACTTCACCTGTAATAATTCAAATGGATCAGGCTAGGTCTGAGAATAACCAGCCTTTGGGTCAAGTCAGGATACTCAGAAGTTATTCTGGCTGAAGGTGAAAGGTCCAACGTAGACTAAAGGTTCAGTTCAGCTGGAGTCCAGGTGAAATACCTGCAACAGACGCAGGCAAGACTGGAGACAAACTGGAGCTCAACCATATCAAAATTTGGAAAATGACAGCGATTACTGATGCAATCAGCTAAGAACTGTTAACAGGGTTCCCACAGCTTTGGTCAACATCAAATTCAAGGAGCTTTCAAAGACTTTCCAGTACCAATTTCCTCAAATTAAAGAACCACGCGCAACGGCAATTACCTACTGCTACCACAGAATGCTACCAATAAACAGGTTTAATATGTAAATTCAATGAAAAACTGAACATAGAGGTTGCTGAGTTAGAAACAATGATGTCAGTTTACTGTAATCCTGAGTTATCCACATTGATGTGTACATTATCCAATGTACGCTTTTTTTATTTTGTAATTAATTTTTTTTAAAGATGATGAAAATCAGTCGTGTGGATATAGAATTTCAATCCCCAAAAAACTTCCAAGGACTTTCAAGGACAAGTGTAATTTGTTGGCTGTTTTCGCAAACTTTCCAGGGCCTTGAAATAATGTTTTCAACCTCACAAACTTTCAAGGATTTCAAGGATCCGTGGGAACCCTGTGTTAATCTATCTTTTCTCAACAACGCTGCTTTTTGTTCAATTCTCTACAATCCAGTCAATCACAAAAATACCCTGAAACTCCAGATCAGTTTGCTTCTTCTGTTTGGGTAAAGTGGTTTTGAGCCAGGGCCCATCATGTGAAGCTGCACTGTGCTCCTGCAGGAACAGAGTATCCCTGCTGCACACAGGTGTTTTGGCGTCAGAAGGAAGAAAGGCACAGATCTGATGTTCGTTTGACTTTGGTGTGCAAAAGTATACTTTTTATTCTTATTATATATCCAACTTTATTTTTGCCCCAACCCTTCCCCTCAACCCCGCCCCCCACAACCAGTGGCATTCCCAGGTCACCAGTTACTCTCTGTTACAATAGCCAATCAGAGCTCACCTGCAGAAAGAAGGCAACCAAACAAAGAAGAGCAGAAAAAGAAAAAAAAACATTACTTTCAGTTTGTTTTTTCTTGTTAAATAGTAATAAATACATTGAGATGCAGTGGTTCTTAACTTTATCCTTTTTTTTTGTCTTAAGCTCAAGGATTAAAAAGTTTTCATTTCTGTTTCTATCTGTTTTTATTTTTATTGATCTGAGTCGGATCTTTAGCAGCAATTCGGACCGGTTGTCATGGTGGTTAGCAGCACAGAGAGGAGGAGCTGTCTGGAGGAGAAACACAACAAGAAAAGTGGAGGGAGTGAGGGAAGAGTGAGGAAAAGAAGGAGATCCATTTGAACGTCAGCAAGGCATCAGTGTCCTGCCCCCCCTCCCTCTTCTCCCCAACCTGATTGGAATATAAACAGTGCTGTGTGTGTGTGTTTGTATGTGTGTGTGTACGCGCACTTGCGTCATGGCTGCTGATCTCTTGAATCTGAACGCAGCGGTGTCAGATTCGTGACAATCATTCAGCCGACAGCCACAGTTTGGAGTCAAATGGAGAGACGTGGCCCCCTCTCTTCTACCTCTTCATCACCTTCCTCCTCTCCAGGTTGAAGCAACAACAACAGAAAAACAACACCCAACACATAAAACCCAAGAGAAATAAAATCATATCAATAAAAACACACTCGTTAATCATTCTTTACCAATTACAGTTGCAACAGTGACGAGAAACTAAAACAGGAAGAAAAAAAAAAGGGAAGGCGTTTTTCATCCTCCTCCTCCTCCGTCTTCCTCCTCTTATCCAGAAGAAAGTGTCTCCTCCTGCTTGTCTGAACTCTGGCTGTGTGTGTAGTTGTTGTTGTTGTTGTTGTTGTAGTTGGAGTTGGAGTTGAAGTTAAAATTGTATGGCTTTAGGGCATGGTTCAGGTTTTATCAAGAGTTGGCTGGCCCTTCGTCTGAATCCGGCCTCCCTCTGCCCCCCGGAGCAGGGTTATTGTTGTTGGAGGCAGGGTAGTAGTCCTCAGGGGGCGGGGCTTGTGGCCCTGGGGCGGTGGGGGCCGGCCGAGTCCGGAAGGCAGACAGTCCCATTGGCAAAGCGAGGGGCAGAGACGCAGAGCCGAACTGAGAGGCCTCCATGGAAGACACCGCCCCCAGGTGGTGCAGCCCCAGGGACACCCCCACGTCCATGCTGTCACTCAACTGGGGCGAGGATCCCTGCTGACCCCCGCTTCCGCCCAAGCTCGTTTGTCCACTCTGCCGCAGGCCCCGCCCACCGTTCCCGTGGTGGGAATAGGTCGGGTGGGGGTGGTGAGGTGGGTCCAAAAAGTGGCGCTGGTGTGGCTGGGCGGCAGCTGGTTTGTGGAGCAGCAAATGGGTATATGCTGGGTCCTGACCCCCACCTCCACTTTCACTGCCTGGCCACATCCTCATCTGCTGCTGGGAGGGAGCCTGGTGGGGGGACAAGAAGGTGAGGCACATTTACTGATCTAGGTCACAAACAAGGTCCTGGATCTAGAGCAGAGTTTCAGAGCGCCACCTTGAGGGCCTCGAAAGAACAACAGTTTTTAAATTTGGGCCGCAGGACCACATTGATTTTGAATAAGGTGCAATACACTTTCTCACCACTAGGAGCAGTAGTGCGCAACTCAGTTGTTTAACAACTTTTTTAATATGTAGAAGAGAACCTTAGTTGCAAGCCGAGAGTGGAAACCTATTTTAAATGAAAAGTAGAAGCAAAAATGAAGGTAACCCATCAAAAAAAGACAAAGTTTGTCACTAATATGAAGTGCAGCCTCTGGTTTTACCACGTAATATTTTAAAAGTTCAAAGATTATCAAATATATTTGCAGATACAGCTATATTTTAATTTGCACTTTATCTAATTTATTTTCGTGGTTTATTTTTAAAAATTTTGAACGTATTTTAAATAAAATTTAAACTTGTCAAAAAGCTGTTGTTACTGTTATTGTTTGGCACTAATATGAAGAGCACCTTCTGGTTCTACCATGCAAAACTTTAAAAAGGCTATATTTTCATTTGCACTTTATCAAACTTGTTTTTACAGGTTTTTTTTATTTGAGACATTTACATTAAACATTTTGAATGTATTTATGCCCACAATTTTATTTATTGAATTGTCTATTTTTGTTATTATTGGTTAAATATATATATTTGTGTTGATAAGCCTGAGTGGTCTGTTGACTGACCTTTGCATTTGTTCAAGTAATTGTTATGGGCAGGTTACAATATAAAAAACGTTTGTCATAATCAAATCTTGTGATTATTTAACAGGAGTTTTACTTTTAAAATGTAAGTGTATTTAATTTTTTTATAATGCAAATACAATACAAATTAAACCAAGATTTAGAATAATTAAAATAATTTTGATCTGTACATTGGTAATGTTTGACTCTTGATTGTATTTTGACTTTAAATAATTGTTGAACAAAAAGGAAGTAAAACAAAACAAAGGTCACTGCTGCATTTTCTGAGAGTTGCTGCAAAATGCAATAAATTGGACAAAGTAGTAAGTACTGATATCGGAGTATCAAAAGTATCTCATAAACCCTTTTTTTGTTGTCGACTTCAAGATGCAAACTAAAACTTTAAAGAGAATCGGTCTTCAGCATCATCAATACCTTCCCTCAGTTTACATCTTGTTTTGGGGCAAACACACAGATTTATGGCGTTAACGCGGGTCTATCTTATCTATTTATCCTAGGCTGTCTGTTTTTTTTTTTTTTATATATGTACACATTGGATGTATTTGGGGTGTAATGGTAAGTCTAAATCACACTTAAGCACAACGGCTCAGTAGTTAGCACTGACGCTTCGCAGCAAGAAGGTCCCGGGTTTCCCCCAGACTGAAAACATGTACAATAAGCTGCCTCCAGGCTGCTCTTATAAAAGACATCTCTGATGTCGGTGGGATTTTCCCAGTTAAATAAAGGTAAATAATAAAAAAGCAGTAAGTACTTCAACATGACGGTCACAGTTTAGTATGGGTTCAGCAAAACAAGAAAACAAACGTCAAATACTATTTTTCTAAAAGTTCACGTGTCAATAAGAAAGTTTGATAAACCTCAATAAGTTTTCTATTGAGAAAATAAAACTAAAAACCAAAATAAAAGATAAACAAAGAAGGGTTTGCTTTAGCAGCTTGACCCAGACTTGATGCAAAATCAAAGGCAACACAGAACTGAGGAACAAACATTTCCTGATGTCAAAGTACAAAATGAATAAAATGTGAAACTCAAACCTCTCTGCAGGCTGAGTGTTTATGTAAGAAAAAAAGACACTTTATTTCAGGGATACTGAGCGATGACCATGTAGTTTATTTGCAGACTCGTGGTCCACGAGTCCATGGTGAGTAAAGATGTGGGGGATACGGGTAAGCAGTGGTTTGAGCTATTGTCTCACAGCAGGAAGGTTGCAGGTTCTCCTCCCGCCTGACACCCTTCATGTGACGTTTAAATAGAAACGCAACTTCCACAGATAAAAAAAATAAAGACATGCAGTCGTGTATAAAAAGATAAATACCAAAAAGTGTTTTCCGTTTCTTTAATAAAAGCAGAAGTTAAAGACCCGTTCTACAGTAAATAAAATAATTTCGACCTTGGAGGGTGGGGTGGCAGGCTGCTGGTGACGTGTGACGGTGCTTACCTGAGGACTTGTCATCTCATAGTCTGAATGGGTAACAGCAGAGTTGTAGTAGCGGTTGCTGTAACGGTAGTTGCGGTTATCATTGGAAGAACCACTGGAGCCACCTGGAAAGAAATCATTAACTCATTAATGCCATTTGTTTTGCATCAACATATGTTTTGTTAGATTATGGAAACAACATTCTCTACTCTCTGGTTTTAATAAAACACAACCCTCACCTGACAAACCCTTCACTACAAGTAATATTTTATCTTTATTTTATTTCACGAGACTTGGTTCCTATAATTGCAAATTGTCTGACGCCACATCCGACTCAAGAAATGTACAAAACATTTAAAACGAGATGAACTGCTTGAACTGGAAAGGATTTTAATCGGACTGTTCTGAAAATAATTACACTGTATTAAAACTAAACGGACTGGATTAATCTGGACTCGCTCATTTATTTCTGTGAAGTGTAAGAATACATCTGTTGTAGTTTGGTGCAAAGACAAGAGCATGAGTTGTGTATAAAATCAGTTCTGGTCCATATTTCTGAGAATAACAGATCATTAATAAGCTGAGCCGTCTGCAGACTGAGTGGAGACGTTACCAGAGCTAGAAACAGAGCTAGTTGTGGAGGTTGAATGAGAGTGGTCCATGGCAGGAGAGGTGGATGTAGACGAACTGGTGTTGGTTCCTTCATCTGTGGTTTTCTTAAAGAAATTGTGCTGCAGGGCATAGAATGGTGTGATTCGACTTTTAGGGTCATAGTCCAGCATGCGCAGGATCAGGTCTGCAGGAAGAGAAAGAACACCAACCATCATGAGAGCTTATTTTGTTGTTAGGAAACAGGTAGGCCAACCTCAGATACCAAGTTTCATCATCACAGCCAACATACTGCTGACACCTGGAGAAGCTTCTACTAAAATGTTTGACATAAACAAACTAACAGATCTACCTAAACACCTAACTCTGGTCATCATTCCCCTGCCTTCATCCAGTGGTGGCTTTTTGTAGTCCATACTCAGCTCAGTGTGGACTTTCTAGTACTCATTTAAATCATCTAACTACCTAAACCAACCCTCAGCAGAGGTTTTTTTTAAAGACAGCAGCTTTTGTAGATTTATATAATATGACTGGGAGGAGTTTTTCCACTAAAGAAGTTCCAGTGCTAACAAACTGGATTAACTAGGGAAACAAACGTTTTGGGTCTGGGGACCCCTTACAAGGGCAAAAAAAAATTCAGGGACCCCTTCATAAACCCCATGCTGTTTGAAAAGATAATTTACTGCCATTTCAACCCTTAAATGCCATGGGAATATATATTTTTATTAAGTTTATTATGTTTGTTTTATTAGTTCATTGTTCCCTATGCATTTTTAAAAATAAAAACCAAATTAACAATTTAGCGACATTTTTTGAGGACCCTCAAGATATGTCGCGGACCTCTGGGGGTCCTGGGACCCCAGTTTGAGAACCTCTGAACTAGACTGTTTGGATCACAGCTGAATTTAAGGTGGATTTGTTACTTTGTATGATGCCCTGAGAGAACGGTTGTTAGGAGTTGGTATTGTATAAACAAAAAGTTTTAAATCATCAAGTTTGTGTTGTTTCCCCTGAAAACATACAACATATTTCTGAGCATTTTTTGATGCAACAGCTGGTGTTTTGTAAACGCTCGTTAAAAACACCGACGGACATCGTGATGAATTTTGATCAATGTAGAAATGAAAGGAGTCGGCAAACCTTTAAACTTCAGGTAGTCACAGGGGGCGTGTCCTGGCTCTCCAGACCTCCGGCCCCCTGGGCCCCCAGTCTCTACTCCTAAAATTTCGTGAAGTCGTCGAGTGGCTGGGGGCTTATACTCCTGAAACACACACAAACACACATCCAATCAAAACTCTGCATATTTAGAAAATATGAACTGGGGGAAGTCAGCTATAAACGACAGGGCGTAGAGGAGGGGAGTTAAAAAGTTCACTTTTTTCATTTTACCCCTGAAAATATTTTGATACTTTTTCAACAATTAGCAAAAACTATCATCACAGCATTAATTATTGCATAAGCATTTTCACAACAAGAACAGTGCATCTAAAAGCCTTTCAGGAATGAAATGTTTCTGTAAGCAGGCTCAAACGTATCAGAGCTTCTACAGATTCAGGCAGAGAGACGTCACATCGGCTGATGACATGAGGGTGGAGTCACTTCATACAGACCCTCAAAAACTTCTGTTCTTTAGTCCAACGAACATAATAAAAATTTAAATAAAGAATTATCAAAATTTTATGAGTTGATTGATTATATCTTGCAGATTATGTATAAGGCTCTCATATCTTTTTTTACCTTTAAACATCCAGTTTTATTTTGTTAAGAGAGAAAGTTTATTTAATCTTAAGGGACTTGAGATGTTTATAAAACCTAAAATTGGAACAAATCTGAAGGACAGATGCACTTCAGCTCAAGGAATAAGATTGTGGAATAATCTGGAAAGTGATTATAAAAATGTTGGTTCAATG